TGGTCAACACCGCATACTTTTGTCTCCCATTATAAATTGGATTTAGCTGCCAAGAAGGAGACGGCTTTTGGGAGAGCAGTACTTTTTTCTGCACTAGCATGACACCCACCATCCGTGGGACTGCTCGCTAGTCTACCACAGGTGTGGATTTCACAGTACCACACAGAAGAAAGTAAGGTTGCTTACCTGTAACCATGTTTCTTCTAGTGGTTAACTGTGAAATTCACACAACCCGCCCATCCTCCCCACATTCTGTCATGCCTTTTATCTCCGACTGTCTTTCGCGGTACGGAACTAAGGCTCCAAGCCCCGCTGCCTGGCTTTATTAGGAGTAGATGGGCGGGGCTGGAGTCCCTAATTAGGAAAAGCTTTCAAGAAAGATCCGAGTCAGCTGCGTGGACGCAGGGAAATACCACAGGTGTGAATTTCACAGTTACCACTAGAAGAAACATGGTTACAGGTAAGCAACCTTACTTTCTAAATCTTAGACACAGATTCCAGTGGATTCATAAGAGAAGGGGAAGGCTGAGTTCCATCATGTCTAAGCCAAGCACTAGATGTAAAGGAGAGAAAAATTGGCAGTCACAACTCCATCATGTCTAAACCCAGTAGTGGATTGAAGGCCCTTCCCTCCATCCCAATGCCATTGCTCTAGCCTTGAAAGGAGAGAAGAAGTGACAAATCAAACTCCAAGAATGCCTAGGCCCGGCAATGGATTAAACCCCGCTGCCTCCATCCCAACTGCCATTGCTCTGGACATGGAGGGAGAGGAGGAAGCAGACACAGCTCTATCATGCCTAGGCTCATAAACAGATGAAAGACCCTCTATCCATTCCAACTGCCATTGTTCAGGATTTAGAGGGAGAGTAGAAGAGTGGAGCACAACTTCATTGTGCCTCATCAGATACCGCCCAGTAGCTGATGGATTTACTCTTCTTTCCAACTATCATTCAGTTTTCCTAATTGTTTGTGTCTTATTTAGATCATAAGCTTGAAGGCAAGGAACTGTCAAATTAACTGCAGACAGTCTGCAACTTGTGAGCTAAATAGATTTTGTAGGTTTGGTTATATGTGTATGTATATGTGTGTGTGTGTGTGTATAAACACATAATAAAACACACATGTGTTTTGTGTGTGATTCTGTAGGTTTGTTCTTAATCTGAATTTATTTGTAAGTCCAAACAGGTACATTTTTAAATTGCAAAACCAGCCAAATATATATATCTCTTAGCTTTGGATAGCATAGGTAATAATTAACAACCCTGCGGTGCTTGTTTTACTATCTGTGCCAATGTTCAAAAGATTTCACCTCACTTTCTAGGAGCCCCTGATGGCGCAATGGTTAAACCCTTGTGCCGGCAGGATTGCTGACTGAAAGGTCAGTGGTTCGAATCTGCGAGACAGGGTGAGCTCCCAGCTTCCCATGCGGGGATGTGAGAGAAGCCTCCCACAGGATGGTAAAGCATCCAGGTGTCCCCGGGCAATGTCCTTGCAGATGGCCAATTCTCTCACACCAGAAGCAACTTGCAGTCTCTCAAGTTGTTCCTGACATTAAAAAAATCACTTTTTGTCCCTGTGATAATTGAATTTTGAAAATGTTGACTTCTTGTGGAAACAAAGATTGGCGAGAAAGCTTCAGTGGAGACACCTTTTCTCCATGATAACTCTTCCAGGAGTGAACTTCCCTTCCAAGGGGTAAATTTCTCTCACTTCCTGTTGTCTCAGCCCTTTCTTAACTATGAGTTGTTTAAGTCGAATGTTTGTAACTTGGGGACTGCCTGTATTTCTCAGCCACTCTAGGCCACTCTTAAATAGATAGCCCTAAAGATTGGCTAGTCCAATAGGAATGTCATATTCATTTTTATGTAACATCCATATTTCTGTTTTGCTGTAGGGGGGGATGCACTACGTCTTGACACACTTTTGGAATGGTGGAGGGAGAAGAATGGCTCTTTCTGTTCACGGCTGATCATAGTGCTGGACTGCGAGAACTCTCAGCCTTGGGTCAAAGAAGTAAGAAAAGTCAGCGACCAGTACATTGCAGTTCAAGGTGCAGAATTGGCCAAAGTGATAGACCTAGAAGAATCAGACCCTCCCCACCTTGGTGATTTCACTAGAGAATGGGTGGAATACAACTGTAATCCCGACAGTAACATCAGCTGGTTTGAAAAGGGGCGTACGGTGAAAGCCCTCTATGGAGTGTCAAAGCGATGGAGTGACTACACTTTACACTTGCCAACTGAAAGCGATGTTGCCAAACACTGGATGACGTATTTCCCACGCATCACTTACCCGCTGGTACACCTGGCAAACTGGTTCTGTGGTCTTAATCTTTTCTGGATATGCAAAGTGTGTTTTCGGTGTTTGAAAAGATTAAAAATGAATTGGTTTCTTCCCACAGTATTGGACACAGGGCAAGGCTTCAAACTTGTCAGATCTTAAAGAACCAAAGATGAGCAGAACTTGAGAACTCGTAGATCTTGAAAACATAACGGACTTGTAACTGTTTTATTTGTAACAGTTTACTGTTTGATAAAAATTGCTACTTTTGTGGCTATATTCCTTTGCTCATTATCCTGAGCAACTATAGTTTTGTGAAGGATAAGAAACTCCATTGGATAACAAGGGCAGTATAGATATTAGATATTAATTTAACACTGTTATTGAGTTGGATCTGAATTGTTTAAAAGCTATTAAATACACCCATGCACTTGCGAAGAAGTTGTGTGCACTTGTTTGCTTTGGATAGAATAGTAAAAAAAAAAATAATACCAGATTTTGTACTATTAGGTTAGAATATCCATATCAGTCCTGCGTGAAAGGGGAAGAGCTGGCTTAGGCTGGTTCTACACTGATCTATATCCCAGGATCCGATCCCAGATTATCTGTTTTGAACTGGTTTATGAGAGTCTACACTGCCAGATAGTCTGGGATCAGATCCTAGGATATTGGGCAGTGTAATCCAGCCTGAGAGGCTCCTTTTGCTTTGGTGCATTTCAAGGCTCCAACAAAAGACAATGAATCAAAATTAAACAAAGTTCTCTGGCAAGTAGAGCTAACTTTAAGGCTAGTCCAGTTCACATTAAGTGAATGTAAGGTGGATAGGTTTTTTGGCAACTTCCATATATAACACATGTAGAATTACAAGATTATGAATGTTACTGATATTGGCAACATTTCTTTCCAAGAATTTTTCCAACAATATTTTCATGTAGGAAATTACAGTTAATAACTGATACTAGTTTCAAAAGATCCCAATATCTTCCATTACAAATCAAAGAAAGGCAGCCACTATCGATTTGTGGAATTAAAAAGAAATAGACTTAGTATCAAATCAGTGTTGTCTTCTTTGCTAATTTTACAAGGTTCTGAATTAGTGGAGCAAATTACCTTCATCATAAGGGAGCAAATTACCTTCATCATAAGGGAATTAGAAAAGCTATTGGTGAGATAAACAACCTGTTCTTTGGCTTCCGAATCTGGTTTTAATCCTAAGTAAAGCCTAGAGCAGTGTTTCTCAAACTCTGCTACTCTAGGTGTCTTGGACTTCAGGTCCCAGAAAACGCAGCCAGCTTACCAGCCATTAAGAATTGTGGGAGCTGAAGTCCAAAACATCTGGAGGAGCAGAGTTTGAGAAACACTGGCCTAGAGCATGAGCTGGAAAAATGTACTTGTCTGAAACAGATATTAAGACACTTCCTTAATATCTAGCTCTTAGATTTTAGACTGGTATCTCCATAACAAAATACTATATATAACCACACTTCTTTAATTTTAGCACTCTGTTCTAACTTAAATTTTAATCACTGTAATCCCTTCCAACCCTAGTTTTCCTTATTGGAGAGGTTTAATTGGTAAGCTTCTATCTCATTGATCTTCCAAAGTGTATTATGGCATGATGAAAATTTAATACCAAGGCAAAGCTTTTCCTGATTATTTTTAAACATACCTAGTTGCATCCATATTCTTGTATTGACTTTTTAAAATGAAAATCTATTTATAACTCTTTTTCAGCTGTGAAAATTTCTGCCAGACACTAAAAAAATGTATTCACAATTTAAGGCAATAAGAACAGTTTTTATGTCCAAAAATGATGCACTTTGCAGAATTCTGCTTAGAAGTATATCCAAAAAACCTTACCAATGGGAGTTCCACTGCACAAGAAGCCTTTCTCTTCAGTCAATCATGGTTTTTTCATTTCAGGAAAGTACAGGTGGCAGATCCTTCATTTTCATTAACCACAATAGAACTCATGCTCTGTTGAGACTCGCAGCCCTGAACTCTCCAATTTGCTGGTAGAGATTATCATGAAGCAGGTTGTACAACCCAGGCATTGCCATTTTTGACCCTCCGTAATGACTGAAATGGAATGGAAGTCTGATCCAATGTGAGAGATGATACTCCAAAAGGAGTTATATACACATCTTGCTAAGACTTGCCAACAAAATGGCTTGTTCTGAGACTTATGGTGATTGTTATATATGTAAACAAATCCAAACAAGATCAGCAATACTCTTGCCTTGGGCTGAGGAAGAAGACTTTAAAATACTTTATTGTGATTTTGGAACAAGTTTAACCAAAATGATCCTCTTCAATTCCAGATTATTAGTGTTCAGAGACCTATATAACATCATCCTCAGTGGAGTTCAAGAGACCAGACTGAAAGTGATTTTCTATGGCCGGCTTCTCCTGTTTTATTTTTTTAATGAAAGACTGTTTTATATTGAAATGTTTCTGGGCAAAGATTATCTTGGCTCTTTATGCTTTATTTGTCCTCTTTTTATACCTCTCATTTCCTATAATGTGCAAATGCTGATAACTCCAAATTGCTTACATCTAATTGCAAAGCGGATAGATAAGCAACCTCTGCAAAAAGGTTAAGCCATTTCCTTTGTATGACAATTGCACTTTCATCTATTCCAATTTCCTTAGCAATGTTTTGAAGTGTTTTTCCTTTAGTCTTGGAAAGTTAACATTTCTCTTTGATATACTGTGTTTCCTTGGGGTTATAAAATGCTAAACTAACTTAACAGTGAGCTAAACCTGTGTGTTTAAAGGGTTTATTGCCAGCAGTGGGTAATTTCCTTCTTACCATTCAGGGTTTTTAAAACTGAACTTGTTCTATAAAAATATTATTTAAATATATGTGGCTCTTTTGTATTATTACTTTGCATTTCCTTCTGCAGTCCTATGTTTAGCTATCTATTTCAGTACTCATTTTTAAATACATTTTATGTAAAGATATAAATAGCTGAATCAACCATTTCCTTTGTTTTTAGATAGCAAAACAGAGAAAGATATATCTTTATTGGTTTTCTGTTGAAAGGTTCTCTGTATTAGTTGTTCGTCCATCCCAAAACTAAAGATAGAAATAAAGCCAGGCCAGCTCTGCAGTATGAATCATAGTACTGTGGTGAAGAGACACTGCTGTAGTTAAGATATGCCAACTTCACTTTTGCAAACTTGATTGGATTGGATTGGTTTAAAAACATATCTTTTCCTGACATCTCTTCAGTAATCTATTATCATTCCTCTATATCATTGTTTTTAGCTGATGTTAAGATGCATCCACATGAATGAAGCGTTAAATATTTAGTGTATTTGTGTTTATTGAATATTATTGGGGAGTGAATTAACGCCACAGATATACTTTTATACCTTTTGACTGTGCTTCTCCAACAACTGGAGGCTCTAGATTAGTGGTTCCCAACCTTTTTTTGCCCAGGGACCACTTTGGTCAGGGAACACTCTCCAACATTAGTACCAAAAGGGTTACAAATCAGTTTTTGGTCAACTTTCAATTCAGTTTGGTTATTTGGGGTCACTGTTCCAACGCATGATGGTGAGTGAACTGTGTCAGGACAAAACTTTATACTCCCGCCTCTTGAAGGAGACCATTAGCGCTCTGCTACGTCTTCAACCGACTGAATGGCACGCATTTTGAAAAAGGAAGTTATGCTTCCTCACCCTGTATTAACTGGGGTTTGGTCCCAGATCTCCCTGTGGATACCAAAGTCCGTGAATGGTCAAATCCCATTACATAAGTAGCATCATGAAATGGCGTCCCTTACATAAAATGGCAAAATCAGGGTTTGATTTTGGATCCCATTTGTGGGGTATGTACAAGCTGTGGATGCAAACTGGCTATATATTTAGATTCTTTGCAGTGACATTATTTATTTATTTGTATACTTTTTCCCCCAAAGGGCCTCAAGGCAACTAACAGTTATGTCTCCCCATCTTAAAACATAAAAAGAAGCAGGCAGTTTTCCCCTTCTGTTTTTAAAATACAAATGCATATTATAGTATTTGTGTAATTATTACAGTCCGCTTTGCGATCTCTGGAAGTGGAATAGATTTTAACATTTGGAACAAGGACAAATGTGTAGAATGGAAAACTCTTTTGATAAGAAATAATAGTTACTCAGAGTTTCACATGTACCTCAAGTAATGCATATCAGTGTCATTCTAAGACATTTGAGTTGAAAAAATATTTCTATTTGAAGTAATAAGCCAGCTGGTGATTGCGTACATAATCTTCCTCATAACATTCGTCCAGTTTTATGTAACAAAGTTTCTTTAACCACAATTGTACAGAATCAACAATATGAAACATGACTACTTGAACTCCTCCAGCTTTATAACTTTCTACAAATTTCTTTAGAATGCAATGCAGTTTATCAGAGAATAATATTTTGGCAGGGAAAAGTATAAATACCTGCCATGGAGGCTTCTAGAGATTTTTTTTTTTCATGTCAGAAGTGACTTGAGAAACTGCAAGTTGCTTCTGGTGTGAGAGAAATGGCCATCTGCAAGGACATTGCCTAGAGGATGCCCGGATGTTTGATGTTTTACCATCCTTGTGGGAGGCTTCTCTCATCTCCCTACATGGAGAGCTAGAGCTGACAGAGGGAGCTCAACCCACTCTCCCCGGATTCGAGCCACTGACCTATCGGTCAGCAGTCCTGCCGGCACAAAGATTTAACCCATTGCGCCGCTGGGGGCTCCTTATAGAGAACTGAACAAAGTGCAACAAAACATTTGTAAAATGTAAATTGTTTCATAGGGACAAACTGGATATGAAGAATGCCTATTCCTAGAATTTAATCCACTTTCCTTCCCATGGCAGGTTTTCTTCAAAGTTACACTCCTCTGCAGTCAGATATGCAAGTCAAACCAATGTGTTTTTCAGTGACCTCTCACAAAGGCAAATACAATACATGCAAGATATATTAAGTGAGGAAAAATAATCTGCTATTTCTCTAAGCACTTGGATAAGAAACTTCACAAAAATATAATAAAAACACAGTCTTGTGTTTCAGAAGTATGTTTTCAAAGCAAAGTTACTCGTGGGCATTTCCTACATTGTCAGAAGTTCTTTTCTCCTATGAATCGCAGATACATCTTTTAACTTCCTTATGTTTAAAACATCTTGCAGGATGGATGTGGGGAGGTTTAGTGTGCCAGCTTGAATTACTGGTTTTGTTTTGAAATAACACAAACAGGATTGAAAACAGCCAAGCTGAACAGGGAAGGTCAGCACTGAAGGAGAGACATTGCTTCTGGATTATGAAAACAAGCACAAGAAGAGCTGCTGGAAAGTACTAAGAAGTTTAAACTTCCTTAAAATCAAAGAGAGGGAACACCCGCCAGTATTCTATGTTAGCTATTATGAAGAACTCCTGGCCACCCAAATCCGATGCCAACATCATTCATCCATGGTCCAATTGCCAAAATGACCCATTGTTCCACATGCCTAGGAATGGACGTGGGGTTGTTGCAATCATGGCAATGTCACTGATGCGACTTCGCAATTGTAAATATGGAACACTTTTCTAGGCATGGTGAACTAACTGTTCTGTAAGAGCAAATATAGAGTAGGACACTAGGAAACCAGGGCTCGCATCCCCATTCATCCTAATGTTTAGGTGAAATTTCTTTTCCTTCAGTTTAAATCCATTGTGTCCTAGTCTAGAGCTGCAGAAAACAAGCTTGCCCCCTCCTCAATGTGGCACCCTTTCAAATATTCAAACATGGTTATCGGAGCCCCCGAGCCCCCTTGCTGACTGAAGGGTTAGCAGTTCGAATGCAGGGAGTGGGGTGAGCTCCTGCTGTTAGCCCCAGCTTCTGCCAACCTAACAGTTCAAAAACATGCAAATGTGAGTAGATCAATAGCTACCGCTTCGGTGGGAAAGTAATGGCATTCCATGCAGTCATGCTGGCTACCTGACCTTGTAGGTGTCTACAGACAATGCCAGCTCTTCAGCTTAGAAATGGAGATGAGCACCATCCCCCAGAGACGGACACAAGTAGACTTAATGTCAAGGGGAAACCTTACCTTATTGTTTTCCCTCTCAATCTTTTCTTCTCCAAGCTAAACATACTGCACTCCCTAAGCTTCCTCTCACCTTGGACCATTTTGGTCACCCTTGTGCTCTCCCAACCTCAGAGAAAGGCAAGGGCAACCCCCTTCTGAAGATATCTTACCAAAAAAATCCCCATGATGGGGTCGCCATAAGTCAGAAATGTTTTGAAGACACAAGACAACTGTTCTCTATTCATGATCATGGCTTAACCACAATTTTGACACTATTACACCTCTTCCTCCCTGATCTATTTTACTGGCATCAGCTGCCTGGGGAAAAGGAGGTCCATTTTGCCAACTATCAGAGAATGGGTGAACAATATTTCCACCAGGTTTGAGAACTGTGCAAAAAGAAGTTTATTATTATGTGTACTTTACCAACTACACATCTTTAACAATTAAGTGCAGTTAACCTAATAGCCATGTGGCAAAGCAAAATACTAACCTAAATGTTTTGTATTATCTCAAAAATAGGAACTGGAATATAATAGTTGGATGTTCCTTTGAAGCAGGGTTGGGCAATGTGCAGCCCTCCTATTAGACCTAGCTGAGGAGCAACATCTGGAGTGCCCCATCCATAATATTCATCACCAGCAGCTCTAACAGAGCAGCCACTGTCAACTCTGCTGGCAAATGCATTCGCTTTAAAGGGGAACAGAAGTACTTAGTACTTGGAAGTGGCTGTAAAGGGCAGCCAGTGATCATTCTCTGAGTTGCATATAAGAGGAGTCATTTGAAAAACTGAAAAAGGCTGCCAATAACAATGTCACTTTGTAAATATTTTCATGCTTGCTGTGTTATTCTAGCCTAGATGCATATCATGAGCTCTCTAGATGTTGCAATGCAATTCCCAGCACACCATCATTGGCTGTACTGTCCAGGACTAAAGGGAACTGCAGTAAAGAGATATGGGGGGAGGGGGTGCACAGCCACATCCTTCCTCAATAAAGATACTGTGTTTTAGTCTGGTCTGAAAGAGGACAGTGTTGCAAATTATTTATGTGGGGGAGTGAGAAACGTTACGGTGACAGTCAAGCATATCTGGGGAGAAGCTTCCTTCCAATTATGAGTGGATTTACTAAAGCTTCACATTTGACAGAAATAAAAGAAGCTAGTTAAATTGATATGCTTTCCTTGTGCACTGAAAGCCCATAATTGGAAAACAGTGTGTACCAGCATTTCAGCCTGTTGCCAACCAGGGTAGCACCACTTGAACTGTGTTTCTGGACTGGGTTTAAGACCACCATGTTCAATCCCTTTTAAAAGGCAGGAATGTTTGGCAAACCAAGCGAAGACAAAGAAAAAGAACACTATGGGAAGCATACTCACATACATATCAAAGTTCAATATGCTTAAGCCCATAAAATCATTGAACTTAAGTCATAAAGCCTTCACACGCTTATTTGGAAGTAAGAGTTGATGGAATATACTTTTCAGTACACCAGCAAATCACCGCCTTGTCGGGGCGCTGGAGCTTGAGCACCTCAATGATGTCATGAGCGAAACCGTGAAGGGACCCCCAAGACGGGACGGTTGTGGCAGAGAGGTCAGACCAAGCGTGATCCCTGGGGAAGGCAATGGCAAACCACTCCAGTATCCTTGCCAAGAAAACTAAATGGACCAGTACAACCAGAGATATGTCGATATGCCATTGGAAGATGGGACTCCCAGGTCGGAAGATGGCCAAAATGCTACCGGGGAGGAGCAGAGGATAAGTTCAACTAGCCCCAGATGTGATGACGCAGCTAGCTCAAAGCCGAAAGGAAGGCTAGCGGCCG